CACTCTCTCTCTCTCTCTCTCTCTCTCTCTCTCTCTCTCTCTCAAAAAAAAAAAAAATGTTCTAAAAAATATTGCAGCAAATAATTGCACAGCTATCACCCCCAATTAAGAAATAAACATGATATTGCTAGAGCCTCCTGTGGCTTCCTTCACTTGACTGTTTTATTCCAACTGAAAGAGAATTACCTTGTAGGACATGCTTTAGATTTCTTTGTTATCAGTGAAAAGTGATTAGGTTATGTCTCATATGCAAACATAATTTTCATATAAAGGAGTTTATTTACCGTGTTTTGTTTTTCTTTTATGGTTGCTTTTCTCCTTCAGATAGCTTTCATGGTGCAAGCCAGAATTTCCTTCACTTTTAAAGGCTGTGTAGTGTGCTCTTATATGCATGCATGTACCACTTTTTGTCACTCGTTTTTCAGTGGACACTTGAGCTGCTTCTACCTTTTAGATTTTTGTGAATAATACTGTTGGGACATCATTATGCAATTGTCTCTTTGAAACTTTTAAAATTTTTTGGTTATTTAGCCAGAAATACAATAGCTAAATCACATAATAAATCTTCATTTTTTTGAGGCATTAACATCCTATTTTGAACAGTGGCTATATCATTTTACGTTTCTACCAACAGTGCCGAAGTGTCCCAGTTCACATCTTCACCATTGTTAATTGTGTTTTCTTCGAGAGCTAGTAGAAGCAAAGTGTTATTTCTCTATAGTTTTGCTTTCCATTTCCCATCTTTTCCTCTGCTTATCATGCATTTCTATATCTTCAAGGAAATGGCTATTTAAGTCCTTTACCTACTTTTACTGAATTTTATTACTGACTTTTAGGAGTACTCTATAACCTGGATATTAATCCTCTTTCAAATGTATGGTCTATGTAATTTTTTTTAATCCCATTCTATGGATTGTCTTTATAAAACAAAGGCCTTCCTGCTGAGCTAGTATCCCCAGCTCAGTTTTTAAAAAACTTCATTCAGATGTGTTTTTATTATGTTCAAAATCTTTTCTTTTTCTTTTAAACTTAAAACATTTTTCCCTCATTAATGACAGTATAGTTACCACGACTAGGTCATTAAATCAATTAGTCACAAAATGAAGAATAGTATATAGAATGTACATTACAATATTCAGAACAAAGAAATGACTAAAGGAAACTCCAACTGGATGACTTTGCTTTTGTTTATGTAACTTATGTGCAGTACATGCATGAACTACTATACTGTATAATCAGCAAAAATTACAATATTAAGGAGCACTATACCAAAAAAAGACATAGAGGCTCTATAAACAAGATGTATAGAACCATACAGGAAAAAAAAAAGGTCATAAATCCAAACAGTTGTCAAACATCATTAAACAATACATATCTTCACATGTTTATGATACATTTGTTTCTTTTTTTGGGAGGGGGAACCGGGGATTGAACTCAGGCCACTGTGCTTGCCAGGCAAGTGCTTATTCCACTGAGCCAGCTCCCCGGCCCAGATATGTTTGTTTCTTGTATGGAGTTGGTAGATATCAGTTACACATCTTAATTCCTGTTTCATGTCCTTTAGCTCCCTTCTGTGCCTTCTCTCCATCTCTTGATAGCCTTCCAATTTGAGAAAGAGCTCTTGGCCTGCTTTTATTTTTTTCATTCTGAGACAGGGTCAAAACTGACTAGTCTGGGCTTGAACTTGCAGTCCTGTCTCCTAGAGTGCTGCAGTTACAGTCATGTGCCACTATGTCCTGCTGTCTTTTGATGCACAAATATAAACATTTTTATGCAGTCATATTGATGTCTATTTTTGTTATTGCTTGTGCCTTTGGTATGACATTGCTAAATCCAGCATCGTGAAGCTTTTGTCCTATCTCTTTTTCTGAGTTGTATAGTTTTGGTGTCCTTAGTCTTCAGCCCATTTGAAGTAATTTTTGTATATGACAAGCATACAACTTTTTCTTTTATCTTTTTTTTTTTTTTTAATCTTTTTGAGACAGTCTTACCATGTAGTTCAGACTAGTTTTGAACTCACTGTGTAAGCCTAGGCTGGCCTTGGCTATCCTTCTGCCTCAGCCTCCTGAGTACTGCGCTTCCAGGCACTCACCACCATGCCCAGCCAGCTTCACTCTTTTGCATGTGGATTACCAGTTTTCCCAGCACTATTTGTTGAATGGTCTTGGTCCCCTTTTTAAAACCACTTGCCTATGTAGGAGAGGATTTCTTTGAGGGGTCTGTTTTCTTCTCTTTGTCTGTATTTCTGTCTTTATGCTAGTACCACACAGTTTTGTTTTTATTTTTGTGTCTTTTGGAGTTTTATGTTCTATGCAGTTTAGGCTGGCCTTGAGCTCACTTTATATCCCAAACTGGCTTTGAACTCCCAGAGATCCTCCTGCCTCAGCCTCCCAAGTGCTGGGATTACAGGTGTGTACCACCTTGCCCAGTTCTTACCACAGTTTTGATTACTGTTACCCTTGTGGTAAATTTTGAAATCTGGAAGTGTGCGTCCTCCAAGGCCTTCACACTGAGCTACATCCACAGCCTTGTTATTTTTTATTTTGAGATAGGGTCTTACAAAATCCCTTAAATGGCCAGAGCTGAGCTCACACTTGTGATTCTCCTTCCTTGGCCACCCAGAGTGCTGGGATTACACATGGTTTTTGTTGATGTCTTTTGTTGTTGTTGTGATACTGAGGATTTAACCTAGGGGTGCTGTACCACTGAGCTACAACCTTAGCCTTTTCTTGTTTTTGTTTAATTTTTCTGGTACTGAGGATTGAACTCGGAACCTTGTGCTTGCCAAGTGGGCACTTGTGCCTCCCAGTTATCTTCCTAGCCTGTGTTGTTTTTATTAAATGTTAAATAGCTAAATTTATTGATGCTCCTGGGACAGTAGCAGCAGGAATTGGCAGAAGGTGAAGGTTAAATGGGAGCCCTTTGTATTTTTGAGACAGGGTCTGAAATGCTTCAGGTTGCACTGAAGCGCAATCTACCTGCCTCAGCCTACCCAGTATGTGGGATAACTGGTAGGTACCCCTCACCTAGCTGTCTCCTGCCTTTTTTCCCTCAGTCTGTGTAGCTAAGGGCTTATCAATTTTTAGGGGGGGGTGTCTTCTCTTTTACCTTTGTTTACTTCCTCTTGTCTTGAGATCACTTTGTTCTTTTTCTGGTTTCTTAAATTGTAAATTTAGGATACTGACATAAGATCTTTGTTTGGTTTGGATTTGGGATTTTTTTGAGACCTTTACACCAGGTAGTCCAAGTTTGCTTTTAAGTAGCTATGTATCCTAAGTGAGCCTCGAACTCAAGATATTTTTGTTTCAACCTCATTGATCTTGACTTATTTTTGTTTTATTTTATTTATTTATTTATTTGCCTTGCCATGCTGGGGATGCAACTCAGGGTGTTGGGTTTGAAAGGCCCGGACTCTACCACTGAGCCACATACCTCTTAAGAGTTTGTTTTTTAATGTGAGGACTTGTAGGTATAAATTTCTCTTAGCCATGTTTTTGTTGCATGCTAGCAGTTTTGGTTGGTACATTGTGTTTTCATTTGTATTTGTCTCTAAATATTTTCAAATTTCCCTTATGATTTCTTCAGTTGTTGGTAATTTAAACATACACATTTTTTAAGTGTGTGTACTCTGCTTTTCATCTGAAAGCCTTTGCAATTTCTGTTCTGTGTGCCAGAAAAGCCTTTCCATCAAAAATCCACATGCTAGCTTTCTTATATTTCGTATTCTGGTGAAATATCATCTTTATCTGAGAAGCATTTCCTAGCCACCCTGAAATGGAGCCTACATCTTTCTCCATCATCACTTTTTTTTTTTTTTTTTTTTTTTAACTTTTTGAGACAGGGTCTCACTATATAGTGCAGCGGGCCCTGATCTCTCATTTTATTCTCTGCTATGTTCTCATTTTCTACTTGTAATAAGTACTTGATGACTTTGTGAAAGGAATGAAATTAATACTTCTCCACAGGACAAGAATTTTTTTTTTTTTTTTCCTTTTTAAGTGCTGAGAATTGAAGTCAACACTTGCTAGGAAAAGTGTTCTACCACTAGTATATAACCCGAGCCCACAGATCTTTTTTTCTTCATTTTCCCTTCCCTCACCATTTTTTTTCTTCTTGTCTGTCTGTCTGTCTGTCTGTCTGTCTGTCTTTTTGAGATAGGATTTCACTGTGTAGTTCAGGCTGCCCTTAAACTCATTTTGTAGCCCAGGCTGGCCTCACAGCAATCTTCCTACCTTGACCTTGAGTGCTGGTATTACAGGCATGCACCACCACACCTGACCCCTCACCATTTTCATTGTTTCAGCTTTCGGTGATGCCAACAAATGAATACATTTGTTAGGATGATCAGAAACCTTGCAATTTCTGAATAGAAAGATCTGAGTAGGAAAATAGTGGCTGGGCAGTACTGTTTCTGGTAGCATAGATAGTCCTTAACATTCCTCTCAAGAGTTTTCAATAAATTTTAGCAATGTGTCATCCCTGTGGATTTCCAACTGCTCAGTCTTGACAACTTGAATGTTTATGTATTCAGTAACTGAATCACACATCCAGGCAAGAGATTAGGAATGCTGAGATCGATAGACTAGTTGAAAAAGCTTTAGCCACATGAGGGCATTTTGCTCCTTATGATACTGTTGACCTACCTAAGTATAAATTGTTTTTTTGTTGAACTCTTAATACTGTGAATACATTTGGGTTTTAATGAGCATTAGTATGGTTGGCAGATGGCAACGCTACTAGGTATTACCAGGGAGTTAAGTTTACTGAGACTATGAATTGGTCCGACTGCTCAGAGCTATGTTGAAGATTCATGTATGCCAGGGAAGTGTAGGTACATTATTCTTAAATGGCAGTTTGGTTTGCCTAGTGAGGAAAGGAAGATGATTTCTTATTTGACCCTTCCAGGATGTCTTACCTACTTTCTGGGGAAAATGAACTCAGGTCAAAAGATTGCTTCCTTTGGCCCAGCTATGTATCACATACATATGGTATAGATTCTACTCTGGATTGTGATTCTTTTTAATTTTCCTGTCACTCCTCTGATGATATGTAATACTTTTGCTAGTATTTGAAAGCCTGTGTGCTAAGTTTTAGTGGGCACTAGGGAAGTGATAGATTTTTTTCTTTACATGTCTGAGATCTATTAGGAAACACTGACAAATAATTTTAAGACAGGTGATGGTTAGAAAGGGTAGATAAAGTGTGCTTAAGAAAATTACAGTAAAATTTTAATATGGTCTCGGTTGGGGTAGATAAGGGCTAGAAGTGGGACTGGGAATATTCCCTGAGGAGTAATGTATTAAACTAGTACCTCTTAGACACAACAGAAGTAATGACTGAGTAGTGATCAGAAAACTACTGATCCTTCTGCTTGGGCAGTGTAGCCCTTCTGTGTCTGTTTCTTCATTTGAAAAATGGAGAGCTGGGCATGGTGGCACATGCTTGTAATCTCAGCACTTATGAGGCTAAGGCAGGAGGATCACCATGAATTCTAGGCTAGCTTGGACTACATAACAAGACCCTGTCTCAAAAACAAATGGAGCCAATTAATTGTGAGGATGAAATGAATAATCACATGTTGCCTTAATAAGCAATTGGAAAAATGAGTACCTGGCACAAAGAAAGTGCTTGACATAGTAGTCATTAGGTTTATTTTGTGTCAGCTATCCACCAAAAAGAATTAGAATTAGAATTTTGAGTACAAATCTGACATATTCTTTCTAGTATATCATAACCAAATTTAGTCACTTTTAAGAATAGTGGAAATGAAATTCTGAAAAATAAGTTTAGCATTTTTTACACCCTAAATTCATTCATTCATTCTTTTTTTTCAACACAGGGTCACCGGGCCAGGGAGATGGCTCGGTGGAATAAGCACTTCCCTGGCAAGCGCAAGGGCCTGCGTTCAATCCCCAATTCCACAAAAAAAAAAAAAAAAAAGACAGGATCTCACTATATATTTAGGCTGACCTTGAACTCGCTATGTAGCCCAGACTGGCCTTGAATTTATGGTGATCTTCCTGCCTCAGCCTGTGTGCTGGGATTACAGGAAGCCGCCATCATGCTTCACATAATTTAAATTCCTTTAACATTTTCTCTAGGACAATTAGAATTGTACACATCTTTGAAAGTTTTTAAAAGATATATTTATGGGAGCTGAGACCCTTATAATTGTACTCTGCCTTAGCAGCAGCATTTATTATGCATCTAATCCAAGTCAACGGTATAGTCACAATTTTACATTCACATTTGACCTGACTAATAGAGTTAATATTCTTGGTACTCTCCTAAGAGTTCTTGAGTAACTTTGTAAATTTCTTTTTATAGACCATTTAACTTGGCAGAGCGAAAAGTTAACGCCCACTCAGTTGTAGAATGCGATCAAACACGGAAAGAAGTTAGTGTTCGAACTGGAGGACTGGCTGACAAAAGCTCAAGGAAGACGTACACTTTCGATATGGTACTTAGCTACTTCTTAACAGGGTGCTGCTACTTTATTGTCATGGTAAAAAAAATCCTGACATACACATTTCCCCTAGTAATCAGTGTATATAAATGTCAGTTGGCTGCTTGAGTTCTCAGATAATTTATAGTGGGCTGAACTACTTAATTATATACACGTGAAAATTATTGACATGAATAATTTTTGGGTTTTTATCTTCAAGATGTCTTATTTGTTGTCTTGTTTTGTTTTTAGGTTTTTGGAGCTTCTACCAAACAAATTGATGTTTACCGAAGTGTTGTTTGTCCAATTCTGGATGAAGTTATAATGGGCTATAACTGTACTATCTTTGCGTAAGCAAGACATTATTCTTCAAGTTGATGAAAAAGTTTAGATATGTGTGTTTAATTTTGATGTAACACTTTTTTAAATCTTGACAGATATGGCCAAACTGGCACTGGAAAAACCTTTACAATGGAAGGTGAAAGGTCACCTAATGAAGCATATACCTGGGAGGAGGTATTGTTTGTAACATAATTTTATCTCTAATGTGGCAGAAATCTTAACTGGATAAAGCATGTTGTGGTGGCACATGCGTACAATCCCAGCATGCCAGAGGCTGAGGCGGAAGGTTCTTGAATTTGAGGCCAGCCTGGGCTATGCTATCTAGAGACCCTCTTTTTTTTTTTTTTTTTTTTTTTTTTTTTTTTTTTTTTTTTTTTTTTTTTTTTTCTTTCTTTCTTTCTTTCTTTCTTTGTTTTGTTCTTTCTTTCTTTAAGGGAGGGTCTCACTATATAGCTCAGACTAGTTTTAAATTCACTATGTAGCCCAGGCTGGCCTCCAGTTTATGGCTATCCTCCTGCCTCAGCTTGGAGTTATAGATATGTGCCACCACACATGGCTGAGACTGTTTCTTCAAAAGCAAAGAAAAAAAAAAGAGAGAAAGAAAATGTGTGTGTGTGTGTGTGTGTCTGTGTGTCTGTGTGTAATGTATATATCATTGCTGTTTGAAAACACATAGTCTGCAAAGAAAAACAGGGCACAATTGAGGTCTCTGGAACACAATTATTGGAGCAGAATGCAGTGGTCCTCCCTTAATTGTGTACAGTCTAAGACTTCCAGTGGATGCCTAAAACAGTGTAGATAGTGCCAAACCCTGTATGTTGTTTTTTCCTGTATATATATACTATGATGAAGCTAATTTATAAATTAGGCACAACAAGAATGTGACTAATAATAAAATACAATTATAACTATATACTGTAATAAACTTATGTGAATATAGTTGCAAAATATCTTAATAATGGTATTTGAACCTAGCATTCTGATACTGGACGGGTTGATCTGATGACAACTACCTCATGACTGACAGCAGGTAGCATGTAGTATGGATATGCTGGACAGTAGGGTCATTTTGTGTCCCTAACTAGCTGATTCCAGATTTCATCATCCGAGCTGCACAAAAAGGTGTATGGTCAGCTGAGTTCTGACACATCCTCGTCCTTCCACCTCCTCAGCAGGCTGAGGCAGGAGGATCGCAAGTTGGAGGGCAGTTTAAATAATTTAGCAACTCTGTGTCTCAAAATAAAACTTTAAAAAGGGTTGGAGATGTAGCCCAGTGGTAGAGTGCTTACCTAGCTTTCATAAGACTGTTTTCAATGCCTAGTACCCCCCCCCAACACACACCCGTACTGACAGGTGCAGGATTAACACTTAGTAATTGTTAATTTTTGGAGCTTTCCATGGAATACTTTTAGACTGTAGTTAACCATAACTAAAACTACAGAATATAACTGAAGTAGTATGTATAGGGCGAGAAGGGAAGGGCTTTCTAGAGAAAAAATAAAAGCACAGCAAGGGATGGTATTGTACTTTGTTAATGATAACCTTGAGTGTTCAGACATTGTTTGTTGTATTGTTTAGTACTATAGAAAGCATGTAGCACATTTCCCAAAGATGTTCATCAAATAGATTGACATATTTGGTACAGGGTCTCTATGCAGTTTGGACTTGTGATCCTCCTGTTTTCAACCTTCCCAGTGCTGAGATTACAGGCATGGGCTACCACACCCAGTCTCAGGGGCCAGTTCAGCCCTGGTCACCCCGCTTGCCTAAGTAGGCACTTAATCCGCATCAAATGTACTTAAATGAGCTAATTAACTGAATTCTCCAAGTTATTAACATTTACATAAGTTCTTTCCGGTGGTTATAGAGGCCAGTTGTTAACTTATATATGGCTAATAAAGTTATGAAGTTATAACCATGGGAATATGACATTGGTTTCTAGTTTCAAAGAGTCTTAACAGTTTTGTTAAGGACACGTATTTGAGAAACATCCTTGTTTTATCTCAGAATCAGAAAACATACTCATTAATGAGCCATTTTAAAATTTAAATGGTAGTATTATTTACTTATGAGGAAAGTCAGATAGGATTATTTAACTTGGGTTTATAAGTAACTCGGTTCTTTACAAGTTTGAGGCTAGCCTGGGCAACTGAGAGAAATCCTTTCTCAGAGTAAAAAATTTAAAAAGAAAAGAAAAGAAAAGAAAAGAAGAAGAAGAAGAAGAAGAAGAAGAAGAAGAAGAAGAAGAAAAAGAAGAAGAAGAAAGAAGAAGGAGGAGGAGGAGGGGAGAAGGAGGAAGAGGAAGAAGAAGGCCTTGACTTCAGTCACCAATACCCTGCTTTTTTTTTTTTTTTTTTTTGCGGAACCGGGGATTGAACTCAGGCCCTTGCACTTGCCCGGGAAGCGCCTATTCCACTGAGCCATCTCCCCAGCACCTCAGTCACCAATGCCACAACTTTAAAAAGGAAAAAAGTTATATAAAGTAGTTGGTTTAGTTGGTATAGTTGGTATCTATGCAGTTCTCAGGTAAGAAGATGTAAGAGGTTTGAAGAATACTGTTGAGTAGATTAGTGTTTTTAAGTGCTTTGGTGTATAATCCCTTGTTGTCCTTGGGGGTTTATACCAGGGTAACTATCCCTTCTTTCCTGCCTATACCAAAAACCTGTAATAGTCAAATCTCTTTTTTTGTTGTTGTTTTTGTTTTATTGAAACACGGTCTCATTATGCAGTTCAGGCTACCCTTGAGCTCATTTTGTAGCCTAGGCTGGCTCGAACTCACAACAATTCTCCTGCCTTAGTCTCTGGAGTGCTTGGATTATAGGCATGCAACACCACTCCTTGTCAGATATCTTAAATGGAGGGGCCCAGGAGACAGCTTGGCAGTCTAAGCACTTTCCTGGCAAGTGAAAGGATTCAGGTTTGATCCCCTATACCACATGCTGTGCCAGCCACTGAAACCCGGTCCCAGCATTGGGGAGGCTGAGACTGGAGGATCACTGTGAGTCCGAGCTGTGTAGTGAGACCCTGTACGAAATAGTTACTAAATAAATCTTTTTAAAAAAAATCTCTTAAGTACTGCTGTATTAACAATAAGTCTCCATTCTCCTATATACCTAAATCATCTATACATTACTTATAATACCTAATATGGGGTAAATGCTATATAAGCAATTCTTATACTATATTGTTTAGGAAATAATGATAAGAAAAAAACACTGAATGCTCAGTATAGATGCAACATTTCTTTTCGTGTATTTTTCTATAATTGGTTGGTAGAATGCAGAACCAGTGGATCGAAGAGCTGACAGTGCTTATGTTTAAACACTTTAAAGAAGGCCTTTATTACGTGTATTTTATCTGCTGCCATAAGTGCCGCTTTCCCTTTATTTTAATCCCTGTTTTACTTTGTAATTTCAGGATCCTTTGGCTGGAATAATTCCACGTACACTTCATCAAATTTTTGAGAAGCTTACTGATAATGGTACTGAATTTTCAGTTAAAGTGTCACTGTTGGAAATATATAATGAAGAACTTTTTGATCTTCTTAATCCTTCTTCTGATGTCTCTGAGAGACTACAGATGTTTGATGATCCCCGTAACAAGGTAACTCAATTTTATAAAATAGAATGTTTCCAAGTTTTAATGGGCAAGGCTTTATGAAGTCAATGTAATTTTTTGTTGTTCTTGTTTTCTAAAACCAGTTTAATGGAATGTTCTTTTGCTCTTTGGTCAGAGAGGAGTGATAATCAAAGGTTTAGAAGAAATTACAGTACACAACAAGGATGAAGTCTACCAGATTTTGGAGAAAGGAGCAGCAAAAAGGACAACTGCAGCAACTTTGATGAATGCATACTCCAGGTCAGAAGGCCGTGTTCCATTTCTTTTTTTCTTTCTTTTTTTGTTTTAAGGCGTGGTCTCATGTAGTTCAAGTTGGCCTCAAACTTACCATGATCTTCCTGGCTAAGTCAGTAAGTTTCTCAGATGAGGCTTTAACTTTTGATCTTCCTACCTCAGCCTCCCAGAGTGCTCTGATTACAGGATTGCCCCACCACACCTGGATCAAATCTTTATTTGAAAATTACTTCATTTAAAATGTTCAGAGACGTGTAATTACTAAAACTGGCTTTTTGTGACGAGAAAGGAACAAATTTCTCTAAATGTCTTCCACTGAAATATAAAATTCCTATTCGATCAATTTGTTGTTTTGTTTTTGTCTTTGTCCTTGTTATTTATTTTGGGATTTTTTTTTTTTTTTTTTTTGCTTATATGTAGACTTGAGTAAAGATCACTTTTTATGAATGTGTACCATAACGGAAGGAAAAATTAATGCATTTTTCTCAAATCATCTTTGACTTCTGTGCTTAATTGCATTAATTCTGTAATTCTGGATTAGAGATTGGGAGGTAATGATTGAAAATCATGAGATGAATAACTTAGACTTTTAGTTTCATTTATGAAAATCCTTGTACTTTCTCCCTTTCTGTAACTTAAAGAGATTTAAATGATTTTTTATAATAAACATTCTGTGGTAAGTATGGTACTGCATACCTATAATCCCAGCTACTCTGGAATCTGAAGCAGAATGTAATTCTAGGCCACATTTGGGCAACCTAGTGAGACCCTGTCTTAAAATCAAAAAGGCCCAGGGATATAGCTCAGTTCAAGACCCTAATTTCAATCACCAGTACTGCCAAAACAAATTTTTTTTAAAAAGCTACTTATAAAACTGTTTAGGGGCTGGAGAGATGGCTCAGTGGTCTAGAGCACCTACTTAGAACAAGCTTAGCAAAGCATCAGGGACCGCGGTTGGATCCCCCAGCACCACATGCCAGCCAGCCCCGCCCCCTGGTGGGCTGAGCTGGCCACACACACACACCACAC